AATTATTTCTCCTTCCGGACGAGACCTAAGGCATAATTATAATCAAAATGTAATATATAAAGTTGTATATTATTTTTTAGGTAAAATGTATTTTCCTCTATAATTTTTGTATTAAAAATCAATTTTTATTTTTCTTTAGGTATAAAGAAAAAATGCTCAAAATTAAAACATTAAATGAAGATAAACCTTACGATCTTTTGGAACATGTAATTTGGTGGATTGAATTTGCCATTCGTCATAAAGGTGCTTCTCATTTTTATACTAGTATCGCTCATGATCCTTGGTATCAGAAATACGAAATGGACGTTGTAGCAATTTTATCAGTTGTTATATTTGTAATGCTACTATGTACATTAGTAATTATTTATAAATTATTAAAAGTGGTGTTTAATCTTACGAAAATGCTAGTTACTAAGAAAAAGATTAATTAACTTGATATATGTATATAGCTGGATATATTGACTATACTTTGATATAATGACTACTATATACTTTTGTTGTTGTCACACACATAAGACGTCGTAGTTATATTATTTATAAAAATCGTAAATCATTGTGTTTAATATTTATACGTACATTTTGTTAGAGTTAAAGGTAAAAAATGATACATATTATATTGTACTATATGAAATTTGGAGTTTTGTATATTTTAGTTTTGTAGAGCGTCCTAAACTTGAGTTTTATTTTCTATTTATTTTATCTTTTCTCTTAATGCGTATATTTTGGGACTTTCTTTGTACTAACTTATGACGTATATAATAAAGTGTATTTGTTCACTGTAAAAGGCAATATCATTTTAATTCCACTGCAATTCTATTTTATATCCTATTTAGTGGGAGACCATGCATCAATCTACGCACATATACGCCATAAACATAGAAACATCAGGGACAGAGCATAAAGTCGTAACTTAAGCGAGGGGTGTGAAGCCGAAATGCGGAGGGAGATGATGCCTAGTTTTTATTGGCTATGGCTATGCGCATGCTCAGTACCGCTTAACCTTCAAATAATTGATAGATTTCCAGTCAAATAACTGCAAATAACTAGGCATTTGCTTGCAAAGGATTAATATATTTATATAAATAATTATTTTGAAAATCCCTAATAAGAAAAATGAAATAATAAAACACCTGAAGTGTACGGTTGTAGTCGAAATTTATCGCGGATATTGTTGACTCTTCCGTGATGCTAATTGGCGGTCGATGTTGGCGATCAGAGATCGCAGTGATGGTGATGTAACAGTTCGGGATTATAATGACGTGCGAGGTTAGCGTGGGGTGTATCGTTGTGCATATCGAGAGGTTAATAGTGTAATACAATGTAATTGCATTTAAGCGTTATAAGTAAAAAGTAAAGAACAAAAAATCAAATATAGCGCGCGCGAAGAGTGCGTCTGTCAATAAATTATAGATTTTTTTTTTCTAGATGTCTTCAGATTGTTTCAGATAAGTTCCATTAAACGTTTTTATTACAAAACTTATATTCTTAAAAAAATCGATACTTTGTGTTATATTGTATTTTTAGCGATTAACGATTTTTATTTCAATGTTGTATAATATAAAATTGTGCAATCTTGGATAACGAAAAAATGAAGCTGATTAAATTAGGAAGGATGAGAAAAAAAAATTGTTTAAAAGATTATATAGATTAGATAGATGTATATCGTAATACTTATTCTTAATGACATTAAGGCGCAGAAATATTTAATCAGAGGAATTGAGCAAGTAATTGTTTTGCATAAGGATGCGCTGATGTCGAAGGTTTTTGTAATCTTTGGTAAAAAAATTAATTTCTTATACAAATGTAACGTTGTTTATTTAAAGATGAATTAATAGTATTTTTTGTAATATGTATTATATAATTTTTATATTGTAATAAGAAATTGTATTATGAAGAAAAGTAACGAGAAAATAGAGTAGCTATTATAGGCCGGTTCTAACTAGGGAGCTCCGAGGGGGGGTGAGGGGCAGAGGGGTCTGCGGGGGGTGGGGAGGGGAAGCCGCTCAGAACGTTCATGGCCTGATGCGGGGTCCGCGGGGAGGGGGAAGCCGCGGAAAGCCGCTCGCTCAGCTGACCTGACCGCGAAGTCGTGGGTGCGGGTGTTGCGGGGAGAGGAGAACCGCGTTATTGGTGCGGGATGCGCGGGGAAGAGGGAACCGCGTCGGAGATGCGGGTATCGCAGGGAGAGGGGAA